ATGCTGTCAATGTTGATGACAAGCCAAGGAACACAGATTACAGTAAAGCTAATTTTATGAAGAGAAAACACTGAAGATACTACTTCAATCTCTGATTAAATAATTCATTTTGCAGAAAGGCATGGATGTCACTGTCCTACAGGTTCAATAGTTATGTATCGCTGACTTATATCAGACACAAGTAAATGATTTTCTGAACTGTATTGTCCTTGGTAGCTCCTAGGACAAGTATCCTTTTAAGTTTACATCCCATAAACTACAACCGCTGAACAATATAACCAATCAACAAAAAATATTAAATTCTGATTAAGATTCTATATTAACTGAGGAAATATAATACCATGTTTAGGAAGATGACTATCAAAAAACAGCTAACATTATCTGTAAGCTTTATCTTGTCCCAAACACTCCCTTAACCATAATGGACAAGTAATGATGCTATAAAATTCTATTCTATATGCTACATTTTATTGGTTTACTGGTTATTTTTGAGGGCTGATTTTCATTCCTGGGCTATTTTAGCCTTTCATAGAGGGTCTCTGAACCCATTTAAAGGTTATAGCAACTAATAAGTATGGAATCCTCAAAACTACTTTCTGTAACTTTCCCAATTTCTAAACAAAGAATGTAATCTAAATTCACACCCTCGATTTTGTTTAATTCCTCCTACCCCTGCATCCTGCCAGGCCTATCTGGAATCAACACCAGAGACTTAATCATAACCAACAAATTGTTATTTGTTGGCAAAAGGGCTTTAGCGAAGGGACATTCTCACAATGAACTCAGCTCGGTGCAAATGGCCATGGTCTGTGTGGGGGCACTGGGTTCCTCCCAGTGTCACACAGACAAGCCCCAACTGCTGCCTGAGTTTCCCCGGGGCTGCCTTCCTGCTCCCTGCTTTCAAATGGAATAGTTTAGGGAAAACAAATTATCCCTCTCTCTTCTTTTAATTCTAACACCTAAAACAAAGACACTTATTTGTAAAATTTAACATATCTTACACTTCAGATAAAATGATACTGATTTGTACCTACTATCGTTCCTCCCTTCTACAAATTTTAAATATTGTTTTTCCAAGATTTTTGGAGTATAACATAGGAACTTGTTTGGTTTCTCCCATTTAACAAATTATAGATTTAACTTGAGGCAAAAAAGGTTAAGTGACTTACCCAAGGTTACAATTAGAGGTACAGCTGGGGCTAGAAACCAGGTCTCCTGAGTCTCAGCCCAGTGTTCTTTTCCTTAGCCCATGACGCCTTATCAGAAAAATCCAAATACAGTCAGACCCCCAGTTACATGGGTATGAGTTACACTGATTCACATATACAAACTTTATATAGTGTGACCAATGTTTCAACTCACGCGGTACCCTGCTTCCATTTATGCAGTATGCCAGGCATCGGCACGATTTTCAGTGGCACACAGGCGGTTGCCACCACCAGGGCCCTAGGCAAAATTGCAAAGAAGGCAAAGTTTGTCTTTGGCCCTCCCACCTCCCTTATACATTCCTCTCCCACCTCATAGTCATCCCCCTGCCCAGCCTCCCAGCGCCATCATGCTGCCCTCTGATTGTCCAAAGCCCCCCACACTGACACCACTCACCCAGGACTGTCCTTCTGAAAGCACCCAGTGGAAAAAAAATTACCTGTCCAAGAAGGGGCAAAGGGGTAGGGGGAGAATGGGGACAACTGCAATAGTCTCAATAAAAAAAAATGAAAAGTTACCTTTCAGTTGCCTGCCACTAGAACTCCTATTCCTGAGAATTTCAGTGGTTCAGATGATCTAAATGGTTAACTGATTTAAGTAAGTCAAAATAAAGTACATTTAACAGACTTAAATCTCCAAGGAGTTTAAAAGGTAACTAATTAGAAACTCTGATTTTGGGGAGCCGAAGGAGTCAGGTTTTCCCACTGCCCTGGGCCTCCTGTGCCACTTCATATCCCCTCAAAGATAGGACACTAAGGTTGAGGGGTTATTACCACCTTGAGCCCACTACCAGAAGACAGTGATTGCTTTAGTTAGTCTCCCAGAATTAAAGTTTTTTTTTTAATTGGACAAAACTGCCTTAAATACCTCCTACCTACCTTTTCCATATCCCTCTCACCTCTCGAATCCCCAATTCCACCTAGTGCCAAACACAACCAACAGCAGTCCCTGTAAGCTGTTCCTGTGTCCAATACAAAGCTTCCCATTATATGGTTTCAAATCACATGGTGTTATTGAGGAAGTACCTATGTTCCCCTATCCCTGAGTAACTTGAAGTTGACTGTAAGCTAATAAAGAACAATCTTAATTATGTAAAAGTCCTCAATCATAAAATGAAATATGTAAACTCACTTAACTATCTGGTATCTGGTAAGAAGGAAAAGAATGGTCTGATTATTATCTTGTACACATAGAAGAAGTTACGTATCTAAAAAAAAAAAATTCAATTCTTTTCCTTGAAAGTAGTATGTTTCTTCTAGCCCAACACAGCAGTGAACATCCAGTCATTTCGACTAAATAATATTGTGGACTCTTAAACATGAATTCACTGGTAAATCCTCTTTGTCTGGAGGCAAAATAAATACATAAATAATCCAGTAACAGACACAAAAAAATATAAATTTATTTGTATATAAAACAGAATGGATTTTTAAAAATCCATGTTTCTGTTGACTACATACACAGGAATATATATATATATATATGTATATATATATCTGTATATTTGGTTTAGCTTTGCAATACTAGATTAGCTACCTAGTTCAGAAATTTTTCAGGTGATTGTAGCATACTTTGATCCAACTACCCTCCCTATAAAATCAGGAAATTCAATCCACACAGAAGGTACCAAAAACGGTATCTAACTAGGATTTAAATACATGAATTTTAAGCAATTTCTGTAATTTTATTCCAAAGATTATTCTATCAGCTAAAATCCTAGACTAAACCCCTTCACGATTGCGTCTTCACAATGAAAAAGGAGTAATAATGTTAAGACATGCTGCAGATGTATAATGACCAATCTTATCTAAAAGTGAAAAGTAATAATGGGTAAGTTTCTCTAGTGGCATTTCAAACTGTTACCTTTCAAGGATTTACTACACAAATAAAATTCATTGCCTTTCCAATCTTCCCCTCAGGTCTGCACAAGCACAAGTAGACTCGCCATCTACACCTACTTGTGTGTTCTACAAGGAAAAGTTCCCAATATGGGTTTTTACTAAAACTGAACTGTGTACATTGAAAAGCCATTCTAAATATGCAATGCCAAAAAATATTTGGATTCAGTAAGTTTTTTAAAATGTATTAATATATTTTGCTGCAAAGCATTCAAGAAATTATAAAAGCGACTTAAAAATTTAAGGCTGCGTCTTTTCTCTTACATCAAGCAATTTAAATAACTTGTTAAGAAAAAAAGCAATTTTCCAATGGCTAAGAACTATTCGCCTATACAAGCAACATACAAAAATAAACAAGTGTTTTTATTTTGGTTTTAAGAAAGTATTGAACTAGACCTTTCCTCCAAAGTAGCATGGACTTGAGCTGAATTTCAAAGAGTACATTACTAATTACCAGCGACAAAAAAGCAACAGCATTTCATCTTTTATTTAAAAACTCTCTTTGTAACAAAAAAAATATCCAGCAATTAGTGGTTTTCTATACAAATTCTAACCTAAGTACCTAAAAGAATCGTTTCTCTCAATTCTACTTCACTGGGCATCACATTTTCAAAATGGCTCTATTTGGGGCACATGCAAGATTTGTCAATATTTACTGAACAAAGCCTCTATTAAATTGTCTAACAAAATGGAGGTCTCGGGAAAAACAGGACCTAACATTTTTTCCCCCACAAAATGGGGCCAAACACACCCACTCAAGAAACCATGGTTTGGGTCAGATTTTTTCTTAAGAATGGTTGTTTCTGTTGGGGTAGAATGTGCATTTCTGGAACCGAGTTGATAGTAAAAGGTTTCCTCCGGACCCAGGTAGAGGGGATGGGGTGGGAGCAGTTCTCTCTGGATGCTCTGGAGGGCGGCGTCGAGGAATGATCCTAAAGCTCTGGGTTAAGGAGATCAAGGGAGCGGAGGGTCTAGCGGTCCGCAGGTACCTAATTAGACCACAAAACGGGCCGCCGGACTACGCAAGACAGACATGGGCTCTTCTGTCCCAGCCAAGTCAACACTGAACGCTCAAACTCTCCTTTCGGCTTCCAGGCCCCGCCTAACACCATTGGCAGCAGATCCCGCCAATCCGCTCGGACACCGCCCCCCTGGCCCGCCTGCCCAGCCCTGATTGGATGGGACTGGAGCCGGGACCTCGTGTTACCAATCTGGGAGCCCCTTACTCAGTCACACACGCAAGCCCAGGTGCGCCCACAGAGCCCCTTCTCCATCCCCTCCCCCACCCCCAGGGCACTGGAAGAGACTTACCGTCCCGGGAGGTGCCCATCAACTGGTCCAACATCGCGCGCATCTGGGCCTGCGCCGACATGGCTGCGGCGTAGCGGGCGGGCAGACAGGCGGGGGTGGGGCGCAGACTAGGCCCTTTTGGGCAATGGGGGACAAGGGAAAGGGCTGGGGGAAGGTGAGACGCTGTCTCGGTTGCCGCTGCCGCCTCCGCCTGAAGGCGTGCGGGAAAGGAGCCGTAGGGTTTACAGAAGAGTCCGGGCTGCGCTCCTGACGACGACGCGTACCCGGAAGGCAGCAGCCCCCGAAAACGACCCTCGCTCCCTCAAGCTCGGTCGGATTCCTGGGACAGAAGCGATATTAGTCACCCGCCAGCAGCCGTCAACCCCCCCCTCCAGGCTCTGACGCCGCTCGCCACCGCCGTCGCTGCGACGTGAGCGCGCACGCTGCTCGCGCTCAGTCGTTTTCTGCGGGGGCTCCACCAACTGCCGTCCAACTGTACTTGCTCCGCCCGCTCAGTCCGCCCCGCCCAGGAAGGGTCCCACCCTAACGGCTCTCGTGCGCGTGCACGCGAGCTCTCCTACCTCTTCCCCTCGGTTATCGCGAGACTTTGGTCCTCCCATGAATCCAGAGCGGCATCCGCCTTGGGCGCCAAACCTCACGCTCCGGGCTAACAAATCGGGTACGGCTCCGCGGCACCGTGGGCTAGTGACCCAGGCCCGAATCAGTAAATGTACCAGAGGGTTAGCCCAAGTATAAAGTGAGTAGAGACCTTGTGGGTCGGTTCGACTGTCAGCAGTCATAATAGTTATGGGCGTATTCCTAACCAATATTTACCGACCAATTAACTCGTTTTCAGGAGCCCGCCATTAGTTGCGCAGACACAACCCTTTTCTTAACTGCTGCCCGACCCTTTACAAAAGGAGCCGTGGGGATCCGACATCTATCTGGTTCGTTTTCCTTCATGTACTTAGAGGCCTTAAGCTCCCCGAACGAGGATAAATAAAATTCAATGAATAACACCTGGAATTGATACAGTAGGAAACAGGAGATATAACCCATTTCGGGTCAATATCATTATTATTTGTAATAACAGCAGGAAGCTGTTGGTCTGAATTAGGAACTGCGGAGGTTAAACAGTATTCTAAGAAAGGAGAGGTGATGATCTTGCAGAGAATTTTTTCCTGCTTAAGAAATTTGAAGGATAAGGCCTTTCTTTTCATTGAATCATCAGCAACGGGAAAATGCCTGTGTTCATAGCTTGCCATCACCCTGGATTCAAAATCCATAGGGGGACCTTGAGCAATTTATTTCTTAACTTCACGTTTAATGTAAATAGAAACCATATAGCACTCTTGTGAGGCCTAAGTGAGCTAACAGAAAACGTCTAGCCCAAAGCCTTGCCCCAATGCTTTAATTGCTTTTTATAAACTTAATTTTTGTTTCATTAAAATTTTATATACATCGCATTGGAACTTAAACTTTATTAGCACGATCAACACAAAGTTAACATGAAATAGCAATCACTGACCCTGGATCTTTTTAAATGCATATTGGGCACACACACACACACACACAAAATGGGAATCACATTGCCTTTGGTAACTGACAAGATAGCTTTTCCACTCAGTTATTCAATTAAAATTCAAACTCCAAATACTAGGAATGTCATCCTTTGAAAATTACGTACAATAAAAGAAAAATGTTCAAATTAATGTGTCCCAAAGGGATGTACTATTATATATGTACATAATATCCATAAGAGGGAAAAAACGCTGAAGTGTTGAAAAATTATGTTAGTGAAGAGATTTTAGTCTTAATCTTGTCTTTTACCTTTCTGGTTGCTTACATCTCTTATAAACAGAATTTAGTTTTTGTTTTTTTAAATAGTCTGATATTCACTGTCTTTTAATTGAAATATTTAATCTTTTATATTCATGTCATTTTAGTTATTTGTTTGGGTTTAAAGTTTTGTCTATTTATCTTTAGAGGGGAAGGGAAAGAGAGAGGGAGAGAAATATCAATGTATCGTTGCTTCCCGTGCATCCCCTGCTGGGAACTGGCCAGCAACCCAGGTATGTGCCCTGACTGGGAATCAAACCGTGATCCTTTGGTTCGCAGGCCCGCTCAATCCACTGAGCTACACCAGCCAGGGCTCTTGCTTGCCTTTTGATCATTCCATTATTTACCCTTCTGGTAGTTTGGAAGTTTTATTCCATTTTTACTCTTTTAATGGTTAGCCTAGAAGTTATAACAGGCATCTTTAATGTATCAAAGTCTAATTTCATCAGTACCTCTCATGTCCTCCCAAGAAATAACACAGGGAACCTAGGAAACCAACTCCATTTAACTTCTTGTTATAGGCTCTTGTAATGTGTTTTAGTTCTAGGATTTTTATAAAAACCAAGTTTCATGTAATCAATGTTTATTTACCACTTTCTTTGCTCTTCATTCCTTCTGGAATCTCTGCCTTTTCATCTGGGATCATTTCTCTTCTGTCCAAAGTTTAAACTTTAGGACAGGAGTCAGCAGCCTGCAGTCCACAGGCCAAATCTAGCCTGCTACCTATTTCTGTGAATAGTTTCATTGGAATACTGCCAGGCTCATTCATTTGCTATTGTCTATGGTTTATTTTGCGCTACAACAGCAGAGTGGTTGTGACAGATACCATACCATATGGCCTGCAAGACTAAAATATTTACTATCTGGCTCTTTATAGAAGTTTGCCTACCCTGCTTGTTTGCTTTTGTGCTTGCCTGTTAGTGAGGAACTCTCCCATTTTACTTTTATTTATTGATTTTAGAAAGTCTACAGCCATACCACCCCGAATGCGCCCAGTCTCTTCTGATATCGGAAGCTAAGCAGGGTCGGGCCTGGTTAGTACTTCGATAGAGAAGAGACAGAGAGAAACATCAGTCTGTTGTTCCACTTAGTTATGCATTCATTGGTTGATTCTTGTATGTCCCCTGACCAGGGACTGAACCTGCAACTTTGGCATATTGGGACGATGCTCTAACCAACTGAGCTACCTGACCAAGACCTCTCACACTTTTGTTGATCTGAAAAGATCTTTATTTTGGCTTTCTTAATTCCACATGAACATTTTTATTGGATATAGAATTCTCAACTGGAAGTTACTTTCTTTTGGCACATGGATTGTATCTTTCCTGCTGCCTTTTACCTTCCATTGCCCCTAAGAAGTCAGTTCTCAGTCTCTCATTCCTTTGAAGATTTTGGCTGCTTTCCAATTTTGTTCTTTTTGCCTTTGAATTTCTGAAATTTACTGTGATGTATCTGGGTGTGGGTTCTTTTAAAAAGACTTTCTTTTTATAGAGAGGGAGAGAGGGAAATATCCATGTGAGAGAGAGACATGGATCAGTTACCTCTTGAATGTGTCCCAACTGGGAACTGAACCCACCACGCAGGCTTTTGCCCCTACCGGTAATCCAACCAGCAACCCTTCACTTTGTGGAAGGACGCCTAACCAAGCCACCCTGGTCTGGGCTGGGTGTATGTTTATTTATTGTGCTTGGAAGAGTCTTGAGTTATTTTAAATATATTGTAAATTCTAATAGAATTCAGTGAGAGGAAGCAGTTGAAAGTAAAGGAGAAAAGGTAGGAGAGAGCAAAGTCAAAGAATATAATAAAGCAGGTACCATATAAAAAAATAGAGTAAGTTAACACAGTGCCAAAATGGCAGGATTCCCTAATTCTGGGACGTTCTTAGCATAGAAAGATTATTACTAATACAGTTCATGTACCAGAAACAATTCTTTCTCTTTCTAACACTGAGTTCAGCTAACTCTTGATAAAAGGTACAGATTGATTACATCAGAGGGACAAAAATGGTCTAAACAGATTTTTTAAACCACAAGAAATAACTGGTCTATACTCCAGGAAGACTGGTGGCAATAGGGCTTAGAGGAGGGTTCATGATAAAAGAATGAGTGCAGTAAAAAGATGAAAAGATGTTCTTTGTGTCAGGCATTTGTTATGTACTGTGCAAATGTTTTATGTACACATTATTCTCATTGATTACAGCCACCTGGTTGGCATTTCCATTGTACGGAAGAGGGAACACACCCAAGTCAACTAACCTGCCCAAGGTTATACAGCTGGTAAATTATAAGGTGGGATTAAAACCTAGGTCTACATGAGTTCAAACCTGTAATAAATATTTTTTTTCAGGTTTTATTTATTTACTTTCAGAGGGAGGGCAAGGGAGAAAAAGAGAGAGAGAAAGATCAACATGGGAGAGATACATGGATCAGTTGCCTCTCACCCCCAACTGGGGACCTGACCCACAATGTAGGCATGTGCCTGACTGGACATCAAACTGGCGACCTCTTGGTTCACAGGCTGGTGCTCAATCCACTGAACCATACCAGCCAGCGCCATAATAAATATTTCTTAACTTGTCAGGCAGTTCTGTCTCCATTTGCTTTCTATAAAATGTTATTTATTGCATATATAATATTGTAACAACAAAAAAATGAAAATATCATCCCATCCTAATCCTTTTGCTTCCTTCTTTTTAGCAAAACATGTTTGGGTGATATATTGGGTTGGCCAGAGTTCTTTGTTTTGTTTTGTTTTGCAGTGGCTCTAAGTAACGCTTAGTTGTCTTTAACTTCATTCAAAAGAGTTTTGTTAGATTCTGTTATGACAGCTGTCATACCAGAATTTTTAAAAAACATCAAAATTGGTGAAATTTTGTGTAGCCATTTTAATATTGAAGCTGGAAGAAAATATGCAACATTTTTGACATATTCTTTAATATTTCAAGAAAGGTAGAAAGGCAACTGAAATGTAAAAAAAAGATTTGTACAGTATTATAGAGGTGCTGTGACTGATCAAATGTGTCAGAAGTGGTTTGCGAGGTTTCTTGGTACTATTGACATTTTAGCCAAATAATTCCTCGCTGTGGCACTGTCTTAGGCATTGGAAGGTGTTGAGCAGCACCTTTGGCCTCTACCCACTAGAAGCCAATAGCAGGAGATAGCCATCATACTCAAAATACCCAAATTAATAAACTTATTTGTGAAAATGGAAAATGTGTCTTTTATTTTACAGAAAAAAACATTTTTTGGCCAACCCAAAACCATGTCAATGAAACAGAATGGGGAAGAGAAGTATGTTAAACATTTATAGTTTTGCCTTGGCCAGGTGATTGGAGCCTTGTCCCATACACCAAAAAAAAAGGTTGTGGGTTCAATTCCCGGTAAAGGCACATACCTAAGTTGTGGGTTCGATCTCCTGTGGGGATACATTTGAAAGGCAACTTAACAGTTTCTATCTTACAATGATGTTTCTCCCTCTAACTCAATTTACTTCCTCTCTCTCTAAAGTCTATAAACAGCCCTGGCTGATGTGGCTCAGTGGATTGAGCACAGGCTGTGAACTAAAGGGTCACCTCAAGTGAGGATTAAAAAGAAAAATAACATTTCTAGTTTTTCTTTTAATACTTTATTTATCTTTAGAGAGGAAGGGAAGGGGGGAAGGAGAGAAATATCAATGTGTGGTTGCCTCTCATGGTGAGTCCCCTGCTGGGAACCGGCCTGCAACGCAGGGATGTGCCCTGACTGGGAATTGAACTGCGATCCTGTAGTTTGCAGGCCTGCACTCAATCCACTGAGCTACACCAGCCAGGGCACATTTCTAGTTTTTGATCTGTTTAATTGAATGTGTTGTTTGACCTCTTAATACTATTATTTTTATGTTAATTTAGAAGAGATGGTGCAGTGCTTTATAAATAGTTCTGTTCAGATCATACTACTTCTAATGAGCAGAACTGAGCCATGCACTCGAAACAACGATTGAATAATGCTGTGTTTAAGTCACTGTAGCAAGTGCTTTCGAGACAACAAAAATGAATGACGTGATTCTTACTCTTAAGAACCATATGGTCCAGATGGTCCAGGAAAAAGGAGTTACGTAAGACATGCCTATAATCATAATGCCAGAAGACTCTGACATATACCACAAAGGACACAGATAAAGAACTGTTGTTAGTTTATAGAAA